GCACACAACGGCACCAAGAGTCATGGACAGGATCGACCAATGGCGCAAAGCTCATGGGGAAAACAAGAAATCCAGATTCTCAGATTGAAGAGCCGACCTCCACGGTTACCCTGTCTTCTGCGTCGCTTCCACAAAGCTGGTGGCAGTGGTAAGGAACGCCAGTGCGGTGGTGTTACTTACAATCAGGGAGGCAGAAAGCCTTGGTACGAGGAAGTCAGGAAATACATTCAGGGATATGGTTCCACTGAAAACTGTTTTAGAAATTATGACAGTTTTAGTTTTTAGGTTTTTTTTTTCAATTCATTGTTCTTCCTGTAAATCTACATTTTAAAATAATGAAATTCAAAAATAAGACTGAAAGTTTCTGTCAGGATTTTTTAGATTATAAAAAAAAGTCAAACTTCGTTTTTTGACATTTTATCCAAAGTTATGACCTAAAAGTCTCACAGAAAATTTGTGTTTTTAACAAATTTACAGACGTCTAACATTTGTAAATGTACTTACATTGCTGTGAAGAGGCCATGTTTGTCTTTGTCAGGCAGCTGAGCTGTGATGGATCAGTGTGAACTTTACTGATGGTTTCAGTTTCACCTCCATGCTATTATAAGCTGTCTCTGGTCCCCTCCCTTTAAGGTGGTGTCACAGAAGGACTCTGTGTGGATGTCACACTTTGCCTCATCTCTGCTGTATTAGGATGAATGAGATGAAAACTGTGCACCCAGTTTGTCCAGCCAACGGTTTTTGGAGAGGAGGCCTTTGGAAGATCAGTGTGGGCGCCTGAAGTGGGAATGCAAGTGTCGCCATTTTATCTGACGTTTCACTTTCAAATTTACACGCTGGTGAAATAAAATCATAATAGATGGAGACATATTCCAAAGATGCTGCAGCACCAGTGTTTTACCTGCTCGCCATGAACACCTGACATGTCAGCACTTTGTTCTGATGGCAGCTGAAAACTGTACGATCTAAACAGTGTGTTGTGTTATACTTTTAAAAATATCTAAAATAACTGTCTCATGCTAAAGTAATCTATGTTTTCTTATTGCATTAAGGTAGGGGTGGCGATATATCGAATATGCTCCATGTATGCCGAGGTTTCCCACGTACGATGGTTAAAATGACTTTATCCTCACCGATAAGTACAAATTGCCACAGAAATATTAAGCTGTCTTTTAATTCACCGAGAGTCATGTTTCTCCCACACGCTGCAAATGCATCATTACCCATGTGGAAAAGAAATAGAAAAGACTTGCATCAGACGTGGCCTACTTCATATAGTGAGTCATATCAGGCTTATTATAAAGTGGCCACTTTCTCATCACTTTCATATATTGTTTTAGTAAGTATCCAAAACATACAAGTTTCATTTATATAATTTTTCTAGGGGTCTTGTATCTGTTTTCACTCTTGTATGCTTTTCATACAAGTTTCACACGAGACAGATACAAACTTTATAAGATTTTGATCTTTTCCATATGGGAGACCCCTCCCAACTGGAAAACTTTCTACCTGCACAGAGCACGTGTGTTTATATCCTACCAGAGTGGTAAAAATATGGTGACAGCGGGAGTTTCAGACTCGCTGTCAAACAAAACGCTGCTAAAGGCTAAAGGACCTGTGCTACTGTACCACCCACTGCAAAGTTAAGAGTGTTTTAAACTCATCACGTGAACGTCTCCACACACCTGTGACTGCTCAGCTGGTTTTATAGTCACTGCCTGTTTCTGTAATTTGACGTCATCACATTTGTATTTTATAGTATTTATATGTTATAAGCACAAAAAGCACCTTTGTAACTTCAGCTGTTTTATTTCGTCTCGTGTGTTTGTCAAAGGTCGACAGACGTGCTGTCTGCTCTGTGTGTGTTTTTAAATTCATTCAGACTTTTTGTATTTAAAGTAGAAAAAATATTGAATGGTCACTATACTATACCAGTGCAACTTTAGGCACTATGTGGTTGAAAATAACATTTGTTTTTGGAGGTTATTTAAACATATGGTGACACATGTCGCTGCTTCTGCTGCTGCCAGGAGAGCAAGCAAGCTGGATGAAGAAGCCTGGGGGTGGATGTTGCAGTGCTACTCAGGGCCGTTAGGATCCCAGTGTCTGTCCCACTCTGAGTTTTAATTTGATCCTTTTATTCTGAAGGATCCCGCATCAGGTGGAAGCACTCCACTTCCTTCAGAAGCCTGTATGACAGACGTTTTAGTGCGGCGAGCCTCCTTAGCTGATGCTACCACAGAGTAACAGGTGGGGTGGCAGGGGCCTTCCACCGGGAGATGATGAGCTTACCCCCCAGCATCAGTGCAGTCTGCACCCACTCAGTGGCTTTAGGTGGAAGATGTTTAGAGCAAAACTCAGAGGACTCAATGGGCAGCCGTGTCTCGTACCTTCAGAGTCCGTGATGGACTGTGATGACACGATGCGTTAGTATTCAGAGCCCCATTTATTCCCACTCGTTGTGATGTGTCAGTTAAAAAGTGTCAAATCCAGCCCACCAGGTTTTCCTGATTTCAGACTAAGAGTCTGTTGATTAAAATCTGGGGCTGTGTTGTATTAGAAGCAGAGATAAGATAAGATAAGATAACCTTTATTAGTCCCACACGTGGGAAATTTGTTTTGTCACAGCAGGAAGTGGACAGTGCAAAAGTTATGACGCAAAAATTAGAATATAATAAGAATAAATACAGTACACAACTGTACAGAATAGAATAAAATAAAATACTATATACAGTAGAATAAAATAAATATACAATAAGATAAAAATAGAATACAAATACAAATACTATATACAACTGAGTAAAAATACAACGATGACAGAAAGGATTATTGCACTTAGTATTATTGCATATGTATGGATGTGTGTGCTTGATCAGTTAAAGTCTTTATTATGGAGTCTGACAGCAGTGGGGAGGAAAGACCTGCGAAATCTCTCCGTCCCACACCGTGGGTGCCGCAGTCTCCCACTGAAGGAGCTGCTCAGTGCTGTCACAGTCTGCTGCATAGTCCCTTTACTCTCCCCATGTTTGAGCCTCAGATTCGGTACAGTCAAACACGTGTCCTCCACTCCTCTGATGGGGCTCTGTGCAAACTGCATTGGACTCAGCTGATGTCCAGTCTCTTCCATAATCACATTTCTGATGAGTTTTTCAAAGACTTCACGACTGGGGTGAGCGTGACAGGCCATTAACTGTATGAAACTCATCGCTGAGTTCAATGATAAAGTGCTGAGTGTGTTTCAGTTTCTGCTGCTGATGTTCCTGCTCTGAGACTTGGATGGATGACCCATGATGAGCAGGAGCTGTGAGCTGGACACAGGCGGTGTTTCACGGAGCTCCTCGCTGTCGTGGAGACACAGCGAGTGATACGATGCTGTCAGCGGAGCTTCATCATCATCAGGATGAAGCACAGATGCTCTCTGCTTCCTCCTGCAGCTCACAGCCGCTCACAAAGATCAATGAGTGCCTCCACAAAGGAGCAGGACGTCTGTCACCTCCACTCTACATCCTGGATTTAATAAAACACCAGCAGGGGGCGCCACAGGACAGGCTGGACATGCACGATAGGACAGCAGAGTGAGCGTGAGGGAAGTCGCTTGTGTCTCTGTAAACTCAAACTCTGACTGTAAAGGCCTCAGAGGTCAGAGGTCACAGCTCAGAGCTGGCTGTAAACACCTCACACCTGGGAGGTTAGAGGTCACAGGTCGAGGCACCGCAGCCTAAAAATAAGCACAGCTGAGCTGGGTCTGCCCTGGCACCTCCACCCAGGAGGAAGCTGCACGTCAGCTGGGAGGTGCTGAGGAGGCATCGTGGTTAAACTGAGTAACCTTAAATATCACTGAAAGGATAGAAAGCGACTCACAGCAGGCAAAACTAAACACGCTCTCCTCTCAGGGCGGGGCTCCCGGGGTCAGCCTCTGTGACATCGAGGTCCTGCTGCTGCTCTCGTGTCTCGTAAACAGGTCACATGACCTCCGCACCTGAGACAGATCACAGGTAAAGGTGGACTCGGTCCTGTTGTGCAGCTTGTTCCTTCGTCTTTCCGGTTTCTTGGAATATACACATTCACACACCGAGTCAGCAGGCAGCGCTGAGGCGGAGGTCCCCAGAGAGGAGGAGGAAGAGAGCTGGTAAACAGCAAGGACAGGAGGAGCAGGGGAGAGGAGGAGGTGCGCACACACACACACACACACACACACACACACACACACACACACACACACACACACACACACACACACACACACACACACACACACACACACACACACACACACACACACGGCTGCTCTACAGTCAATTTAACAATAATAAGAGTCTCTGCTTCCTGTCCTGCTGGTAAATAAAAGCATCATAAACCTGCTCAGATCTTCATCGATTTTTCTAAAGTGTTATTTTTGTCACAGACACCTGCACACAGTCACACTACAGGGAAAAATACCGAGCGAGCTAAAGGAGGGAGCAGCTTTTTCACGTGTCTTCATGAATAACTGTAAACCTGTTGTTTTATTGACTGTATTTGTGCTCTGTTAATAACACTGGGCTCACATTAATGTGCTGAGCATCAATGACATAACTGTTCATGTGTCATTGCATAAAATTCTCTTACTGTGTGTGACTGCACAGATGGACACAGAAATGTCAAAGCTAACATTCAGTTTATTGTTTTCACGCGGTTTAAATGGACCTCCAGCTGTAACAGCTGAACTCATTAAAACGAAATGAATTTTTCAAACAGGACGCTCTCCTGTCTCCTAACTCACGGTTAGGATTAGAGGAAACAATAAAAACTAAGCAGAAGCACAAACACAGATCTGCCGAGCAGCAGTTTTAACTGTTATGATAATAAAATCAATCCTAACAGTTAAATCTGTGACGTCACTCTGGTGTGTGTCTGCGTTACATCAGATTCACCTCTGCAGCCCTGACCATCGCGGGCTTTTATTTTGAGGATTTGGCGAATGCGGGCTTTTATTGTGGTGGTCTGACCAAACCTCCTCCGTGTCTCCCGGAGCTTGCCGGTCGGGCTCCGCCGCCCTGCCCTCCCGTTCACAGTACACTCTCAGTCCAGTCCTTCAGCTCCGGGGCCGCTAACAAACTCAGCCCGCGGACACCGCAGCTCACCGGCAGCTCTGCGCCCGTTAGAGCGTTTACTGAGTACCGGAGGAGGAGGGACGCCCGCAGACTTTCCGACGGAACAGAACTCCGCGGACTGCGTCCATGCTGAGCCGCACACAGGTGAGCGCCGGCGGAGCGAGGACCGGGGGCAGCGGGCGCACTTTCAGTCGGTACTCCGGTGATACTGTGACGTAGACCGGACAGCCCGACGGCGAGCGGCGGGGTTCGCGGAGCAGCTGAAAGTAAAGCAGGTGTGTTTGGAGTGCTTTCGTCATTAACACTGACTCCGCCCCCCCGTTAACGCAGATTAAACCGCGTTTTTTTGAGCCAGTGAAAGGTTACGGACAGGGGCGGATACAGAGAAACGGGGCCCGGGGCACAGGTAAGGAAAAAGCCCCCCCTCCTTTTGCTGGTTTTAAACGGGGCAGCTAATTGGATAGCCGTGTTTGATGATCAGCTTGTAGTTTGTGCTCGAGCGGCCCTGATTGGTGGACGTTTCTCACATTATTTGACACCTGGAACTGTTATTGTGGCGCTCTGTTTGCTGCTTCCTGACTAGGTTTCACCTAAAGAAGGACCAGAAATCCAAACTTTTACTTTTACTGAAGCGTGAAAAACATTTCCGATAAAGAAATCAAAAGAACACAGACTCTCTTGTTTCTGTTCATTTATTTTATGTCATCCAGATGTTACATTTTTTGCTCCTCTAATTGATTCCAGTTTATTTCTTTGTGTTTGCTCTGTTGATATTTGTTTAATCATGACAACAAAATGATTAAAGTTGATCAGATGCTGATGGGGAAACAGAACTGATCTCTCGTGTACTCGTCTGAGCGTCTGACGTCAGTCGCAGGGGGGCGGTGCCGGGGTGTCGGTTGATGTCGCGGTGTCTGTTTCTGTGATGTCAGTGGCAGACTGAGCGCGTGCGGAGTTGCTGAAAACAAAGATGGAGATGTTTGCCGTGTGGATCCTCAGCAGCTGATCAAAGAGAAAGAGCGGCGCCTGATCTTCAGGGTGCAATATCAGCTGTGGGCGGAGCCTGCACAGGTCTCAGATCCACCTGTCAAGCTGACGGAGGAGGAGGACGGCTGCTTCTTCTCCTTTGTCAGCAGCAGTTGAATGAAAAGCTGCGATCGCGCTGAATAATTTCTCTCCTCGTGTCTAAAAATAGCCACCCGGCTGCTCCACCTGCACACGGAGCTCTGCTGCACCTACGACGACCCTCGGAGTCACCTGACCTCGGCCGTAACAAACTGAACCAAAATAAACCGGAGCGACGGCGAGGCTGAAATAAACCCGAGCACCTCAGAGCAGGCGGAGGGAGCGCTGTGATTTATCGTTCATAAACACGACCTCGAGTCTGATCTGTGTGGGTTTAGGACGAGTCACAGATCAAACTGAGGTTTTCCCCGATCGATCATTTTATAGATGTTACCTGTTAACGCTCGCCATCTGACCGCTCGGTTCAGGGAGTGCTGCTGCTGGCTGTGTTTGTTTCTCCAGCCCGGTGCGTCCCACCCTGAGCTTTCATCTGCTGGATTTCGGTGACAGCTGGATGGCGATATACGATATATATCTCGATATTTATTTTTAAGCCATAAAGTAAGAACAAACAGAGAGTTTAGTCACAGCTGTGTCCCAGATGTCACACAGGCACTTTTATTAACACACAGCGCAGATGTACAAGAAACAATTACTCAGAAATAAATTATCAGCATTTATTAAATAATCATGCTCCATAAATAAAAGAAAAAATGTTGTTTTGTGCATAACAAAGAGCTCACAACTGTGCAGTCAAAATGTAAACTAACAGACGCTGAGCACAACAACAAGCAGCTGCTCTGTTCTTAACTTCTACTGCGTGACCGACAGCCTGGAGTTTGAAATCCTCTTCGTAACCGCGTCTCTGAACAGGAGCCGTTTATGGTCCTTATACGCACACAGTACGGTGATATTACGCTGAAGCACAGTACGTATCACTCCGCGAGGCTCCAGACTACGGCAGCCGTAACGCGGTGCGGCTCCGTAGCAAAGTCGTACTCAAACATTTTTAGTCAGATTGCTGAGCGCCGTGTTCCACAGAGAAGCGGTTCGCGGTCAGTGAGCACAACCAGAACTCATACATAAGGCGCGCTGTCAACTTTTGAGAAAATGAAAGGATTTTAGGCCGTGCAGCACCTCTGGGCGTTAGCGTGGTTAGCTCGTTAACACGTTGACGCCGTCCAGCCCCACGCACGGGGCGATGCGCAGTAACTCGTTAACGGAGATTTGCCGTGTCCGTCTTGTCGCTGCCTGCAGGTGAAGCGATGGGGGAGGAGGGGGTGTTGTGGTCAGTGAAGGAGAGGCGGAGCAACGCAGCGTAGAGACAAAAGTGGACGAAAGAGAGGCAAACCTGCGGCTCCACAACTATAATTATAGCATAGACTATATTGATATAAAGGATATTGTCACATCTCTTATCTCGTATAAAAATATATTTTTTAAAAACTCGATATATCGCCCAGCCCTACATCACGTAGACGTGGGCTGGGAGTAAGAACAATAACACGGGCGAGGTCGAGTTGTGTGCAGGTTTTACACCTGAGCTCACCTGAGACCGAGTCTGTCATTAATGGATCCATAACACTGGAGAAAACGGGACCCCGAGCGATGAGGGAAACATCTGAGCGTGCAACACCTGGATCACAAGGTCACCTGGTGGGAGGTGACCTGTCTCTGAACAGGTAACAGGTGTGCACAGCGTCTCTCGGGCAGCTTGTGTCAGAGCCAGTCAGCGGGAGATCGCCCCCTGCAGGAACTGAGCGTCACTGAGTCTCTGAACCTGTGGATTCATCACAGACTGGATGTCATGACCACATCCAGTCACAGAGACGTGTCGGGGTCGCTTTAATGATGGCAGCTGATTGGTCGCAGACATGGTCCCCGTCTTTAAAGATCACCGGATCATTGCAGTCTCAATAACTGTGGTCGTGTCGCGGGCTCCGCCCACTGCTCTTCCAGGTGTGACTGTTGTGTAACCCTCTGCTGGAACTTCTGGACTCGAACGTCCTGTATCGATCGTGTGTTACTGCGTCTCGCTCCACAGTTGTGTTGTACAATGACAATAAAGGGCTTTTCTATTCTATTCTATTATGTTTGCAAGCGTGGCTCCATTTCTAAGAGTTTCTGATCCTGAGTCTGTGGACGTCACAAACGTCTCTGTCTCATCAAGGTGGTTCGCTTGGTTTTCTCGTCCTTCTGCCTGTGAGGGACTGATCAGTGCTGCTGCTGATTCAAGTGCATAATAGCATACAGTTGTGTGTGTGTGTGTGTGTGTGTGTGTGTGTGTGTGTGTGTGTGTGTGTGTGTGTGTGTGTGTGTGTGTGTGTTGGATAAACTGACAGTGTGGTACCAGGTTCGTGTTGGTTAATCTGGAGGCGGGTCTGAGCGCTGCTTTGCTGCAGTTTCCTTTGAAGTGGAGCAGGACGTGTTTGTGCGTTCCTCCGACAGAAACAGTCGTATCGTGTGTCGACTCGTTTCAGCTGCACTTTCACCGTGTGAGGATTCAATTACCATAAGCACCTTTAATCTGAGCCGACGGCCTCATCGAGGAAACTCGATCCCTCCTGCTAACGAGGAGAGCCGCGCTGCAGGATGCTGAGGCTCTTCTTCCAGGCTGCCGGCATGAATAACACATCGGAGAGGGACACCTCCGCCCCTGCAGAGCGCCTCCATCGGTCTCTGCAGGGGCACAGGGTCCTGAACAGTCATCTCCTAACCACAGGCAGCACCGAGCTTCACCGGAGAGCTTTCAGACCAACACCTACACCACCCACAGCTGAGGGCGGTGTGAGAGTCTCACGTTTATCAATGTTAAACTGATTAATCTATTTTAGAAAGTATGGAAACATCTGTCCATCGTCCCATGTTCACACCGTCCAGCTGTTTCCGGTCCGAGCGTCTGATTGGATGAAGCTCTCTGCAGCGGGTCCCCGCGTCTTTCTTTAAAATAAAACTGTAGCGTTCGTGCCCGACCTCTCCAGCTCTTCGTCAGCTCGGTTCACCTGCAGCTCATCTGTCATGTGATGGGGTTTCTCCGCCCATCGGAGTCAAGTCATCTTTATTTATATAGCACATTCAAAAGACATCAAGTGTCGGCCAAAGTGCTGAACAGAGGGATGATATAATAAAAAGAATTAAAATAGATGAGATGAAAACATTATAGAAACATTGTAAGACATCCATATATGTTTGTAAAAAAATGTGTACATGCATATATGCAAATACATATACAAAAATGTACACAAGCACACACAAGCACACGTGAACATAAAATACATGCAAACATTACCCAATGAGATAAAAGACCAGAATCGCAGAATAAAAGAGGTGTCAGAGAGAGCCTTGGAAAATAGGAAGGGCTTCAGATTCGATTTGAAGACTTCCAAGGATGAAGAGGATTTACTGAAAGGGGGAAGGCTGTTCCAGAGTCTCGGCGGCAATGGAGAAAGCCCTGTCCCCTCTAGATTTGAACTGGGAGCGTGGAACTGATAACAGCATCTGACTGGAGGAGCGCAGAGATCGAGTGGGTCGGTGCAAGCTAAGAAGATCTGAAATGTAACCTGGAGCCAAACCATGGAGAGCTTTAAAAACAAATAATAAAACCTTAAAATCGATTCTATATTTAACTGGTAGTCAATGTAGAGATGCGAGTATCGCAGTAATAGTCTCTGTTTCTAGTACCCGTCAGGAGCCTTGCGGCTGCATTTTGAACAAGTTGCAGGCGGGACAGGCTTGAGTGACAGATGCCTAAATAGAGAGAGTTACAGTAGTCAAGACGTGACGATAGGAAAGCATGAAACCAAGATTTTTTACGTGGGGATGTACACGAGCTGATAATGGGCCCAAATCGTTTCTTATGAGACTAACAGAGTCCTGCTTACCGAAGATTATCATGTCGGTTTTGTCGTGATTTAATTTGAGAAAGTTCAGAGACATCCAGCAATGTATGTCGCTAAGACACTCTGAGACTTTCTGCAGCGTACTGTCAGCACCTGGTTTTAGAGAGAGGTAGAAATGTGCATCGTCTGCATCGGAGTGACAGGAGATCTGGTGTTTCTGAAAAATGGAGCCTAATGCGA